CGGCGACGACGACGACGAGGAGGACGAAGACGGTGACGAGGACAAGGACGACGAGGGCAACGGCGACGACGATCTCCGACGATCTGATTCTCTCGGCCCGGAAGATTTTCCTCCATTTGGGTATCCTCGTTGTCGCGCCCCAGAAGTACCCAAAAGTCATCCGGGGCGGGAGCTGGCCCCCTGGTCGGGACCCCTGGGGCCTCGGATTGAAAAAAGAAGAACAAAAAAAAAAAAAAAACGGACGTCGGGGAGCAAGGCTCCTCCTCCTCCACTTGTTTGACGTTGCGCGGACTAGGGAACGGAAACTGCAGCGTACGTGTTTGAAAAATTGGAAGGCCGACTTAGGCCCACGACAACAACTTAGGCCTGGCTGGCGCAGCTGCACAAGGACAGGCGCAAAATCTGAAGCAAGAGACTGTAGGGCCTCAGTGGCTAAGAACATGCGCCAGCCAGGCTGTGGGGAAGGAGGGGACCAAAACGATTCGCACCGATAGACCTTGGTATAATGATTGAGTGTCAATAGGATCTGGACGGCGACATGGAGAAAAAGGATCGATAAACACGCGCACAAAACAAAAACTATGGTGGCGACAACGGCTGGAGCACGAATGGTTCGCATAAGAGTCCTGTGGGCTTTGCCTCACGGGTAGCTACGCCGCTTCCCCACCGACACCCCCAGGCACCCTCCCCAGCTCCACAATATTAGACCAAACTGTGGCACTGTGGTGAAGAGAACCAGACGAAGCACAGGCGACGATACCAGCAGCTATGCGTGTTTGGAAACTAACCTTACAGGCTGGCGCCTCGTGGATGGGCTGGCCTGTGCACTGGTATGGCTTTCCCTGTGTATCAGGCGCTTGGGACGGTGATTTGGCATCCTACTGCAGAATGCTGGTGTCGGTAGGCCACTTGGGATTAGCCCTACTTGGGCACAGTCCCCTACCGACGGGCCAACACGGCCTCGAACAGCAAGTCGCAGGCAGGATATTGGCATAAAGACTCACTGGCACCTGGGCTTAGAAACAACAGCAGCCCCCTCATTCCCTCACCCAGCTCCACCATGGTAGTCTAGGCATGGCAAAAGGATGCTGGAATAAACAACAGGAACAGGAGACGCTACTAGACGCAATGTGCGTTTTGACACTGAGTTTACTGGTACTGGTGTGGTGGCTGACTCAAGCAACGCCGGCAAGCCAAAGCGGCGGCGCAACGCCCTGTAGACCAGGGGGTAGGAAATTCAGCTGCGTACAATTTTCCCCCCATGCTACTGAGCGGCTGGACATGGCGTGGCCGCTGCAGATCTAGCGCTGTCGACGCATGCTAGCCTAGTAATTGCTGAGTGTTTGCGGGAGACGTCCTCTCCCACCCGCCCATCAACCTGCAACCTCCACCCACCCTCCAACCAGCCATTAACATTGTTGAAACATTAGACAAGCAATAAGCGAGAGCCGTTGCTGATGCATTTGCTGGCTTGATACTTTAGCCGCTGGATAGCTCAGCTGTGAACGGTCTGGATACTGATGTAAATCGTGCAGAAAGGCGGCTGGTATGCTGTAAATTGAGAGCCTGGTCAGGTCGGTAATGACTGGTCTAAAAAAACTTCTTTATCCAGAAAAGGGGGTTGGACATTTCCCTCTGGCCTTTTTCGGCTTCTCGCTCGCCAGAAGTAGGCCCGCTCTTCGGTTCCTCGGTGGAGGGGCTCACCATCACCGTCCCGTAGCCAGGTGGGAGTTTGGAGGTAGAATACGGTAAGGGGTCGCAGCGTGCACTGCTCTACCCACTACCTAGGGGAGCACCATTGGCAGCCTCGAGGGGCTCATAGAGAGGTTTGCTTGGCGCCCGCCAGTTTAGCCTCTCTTGAAGTGCCATTTCTCTGACAGTTCGCGTGCTGAAATGCATTTGCGCAGCGTAATGTGCTGCGCACAATGCCTAGTTGGCACTGTTCTGCCGTGGTTGGCGGCTGCTCGCAGTGACGGCCGGCAGCTCTCAGCTGCTCTGTGACACTTGCCATGATGAGGCGCGCTGCATCTTGGTCGTCACGCGTTCGGCGGGTTGCCCTCTCTGCCGTTTGGAGTCGCAGCGCTGTCTGCACTGGCTCCTGTGCTGCAATGACCTCTTGGTCGAAGGCCGCTTGAGCTAGTGGACGTTGTGCCACGGTCGATGCGCACTGTTCTTCGTGGCTCTGGCGTCGTTCAACGCACCGTCTGGATTGTCGGGCTTCCCGCGGTAGTCCTTGCTCTAGTAAATGCATCAGATGTACTGCCATGATCATGCGGAGTCCGCCCGTTTTGCCTGCCCTTCTTGCCGCTGTCTGCGGTGTTGGTATATTTGCAAAATCGCGCGCTGCATCCGTTATTAACTTGCCTGTTATGCCCTCAGCGCATCGCGTACGCGGCTGTCGCTTGTCGCCAGCTGCGTCTTCTTCTCGCATTGCTGTTGGCTTGACCGCCTGCACGCGTAGTCCTGCTTGTCGCAGTGCTTGGCTGTGCTCTCTTGTCTCGTGGTTCTCGTTGGACACGTGGTCGCTGGCTTCTTGCAGTTGTCGCATGGTCTCTTCAGCTGCTTGTAGTTATTGTTGTGACATACTCTCTTGGTCTGCGTCTTGCTGAGCTGCCCTTAGCTCTGCAGTGGTCCAGTCGTCGGCTTTGAACCCGTCGTAGGCAGTTTTCAATCGTTCCTTGATCTTCGGTGTCTCTTGGTCTGCCGTGGCGTTTGGACTGGACGTTCTGAGGAGTTCTGGTGGTGGTCGTTCCTCTGGGCCGGCGCCGAGCTGTACGTCTGGTGCTCGTGACTGTGAGTTGGGCGCGTACTGCTGGTTGTTGATCAGTTCCGTCTCGAGGTTGACGTAGGTCGTAAATGTGTACCTGTTGTCCTCGTGTTTCTGCTGGGCTTGCTGTAATGTTGCTGCTGCGCATGCTGCGCAGTCGTCTTTGAGTCGTCGCGTGTACTGTCGCTGTTCAGATTCGGGCTTGGGGTCAAGCAGCTGCCTTTTGATGACTGCCATTGCGTGCCGAAGTTGGCTAGCCTCGTGGCCTGCGCTTTCCACGGCCAAATCCGACGTTGCAAGCTTCCGCAAGATAGCGTTGTTTAAAGTGTTCCAAGCTCCCACTTCAAGTGGAATTGCTCTGGGGTTGTCTTTGATTTGATCTGGTATGCGGTCGATGGGTGCATGATTCCCGCGTGGTGCAATTGCGCTGCATGTTCTGGACTGCTACCGAAGCTTGGCTGCGGTACATAGACGCTGCTTTGTGCTGGTGGAGCTGGTCCTTTTGGTTTGGGCCATATTGTTGACGGCATGGTGGCCCTGGAGCGCGAGGCTGCTGTGCCCAGTATGGTGTTGCTGTCGCTGTTCGGTAATAGGTGCTACTTGTTTGCTGCTGGTATGGTGGTTGCGCTGTGTATATCGGTTTGTGCTGAGTTGGGTCGGCGTGACTTTTGCGTCCGACTGGTTGCAGGGTTGGACCTTTGCATTTCCTGTTTCGTCGTTGTTGGTACTTCCTCATGCCTTTGCCTTTGGCCTGGGGGGGTCGTGTGTAGTTATACATTGTGTCGGCTGCTTGTCGTGGTCGCTGCTGTGCATTGTGGTGTTGGTTTAGTAGTAGTTGAGCTGCTTGAAGCTGCTGGTGGGTCGAATGGTTGAGTAGGGCGCGCGCTGAAGCTACCCGTAGTAGTGTGCGTGCCGCTGTACGTTGCTCTCTCCCTGCGGTCCCAGGCAGGACTGGGAAAAGTCAACGAAGTTGTCGTGTTAGGCCTTGCAAAATGCTGCAGTGTTGGTGGGGTCGGCTGGCCAAATTGGCATTGTAAGTGGTGCTCGTACTGCGGGGATGTCGTAGTCTTGAGGTCGTGGACTCCGTCCGCGTGCTGTGCGCCATTGCTGTCGAAATCGTGAGGTCGGAAACATTATGCCACGACTGCGCACACGAATATACTGATAGAGGTAAAGATTTGAAATTTTAAAGCGTTTCGGTCGCGACTGGCCCCTGTGGGCGGGGCGGGCGCGCTGCCACGGCCTTTGATACGCCGTGGCTCCTCCTCCACCTCCTCCGTCTCCTCCTCCGCCTCCTCCTCCTGCCTCTCCCTCTGACCAGCCTCGAGCCGATCCCTACCCCTCAGATTACCAAGACCAACGGGGATGACAATCTCAGGATGCGCCCTCAGAAAACGACGGAATCCTCAAGATCGGGATCGAGATAAGGCCATGCCAATCATAAGGGTACGGATCTGCTTCAGGCTGGACAACTCGCAGGAGCTTCCCATGCCATCTTGCTGGCCCATGCCAACCGACGATAGTCGGCGCCACTCGACGCTTCTCGACGCTGAATTGGCGCTAAGTCTGCACCCTCTCATCGATTGCCGACGCTAGCGCACGCTGCCGCACCCTGGAGACGGAACTGCGAGGACGTGCAGGGATCTCTCGCGAGGTGCTGTAGCGAACTCCTTCCTCGGATCCCTGCGGCTCGCACGGAGGGCTGGCCAGCGACGCGCCGACTTCGCTGCGCGACGGGCGGGCCCTGCGGGCCCCGCGGGCTTGTCGCCGCTCTCGGGTGCTGCTGCGGCCCGCGGAGGAGCCCCCCAGACATGCGTCGTCTTAGACTTAGGTCGGGCCTGTCCCCCTACAGGGGGACCTTCGACAAAAAAAATACCCCTAAAATAATCCAAAAGTAGCCCAAAAATAGTATGGGACTATTGGTTGAATATGTTTTGGCCTTTTGGGGGCATGTTTGGGGTATTTTTCATTTTCCTTCGAAAATCCCCCTGTAGGGGGACAGGCCCGACATAATCTTAGCCTTTCCAGCGCGGGGCCCCGACCCTCTCTCCAGGGCCGGGCTTTCGTCCTGGGCCCTCTCTTGACGGTCCCTGTGCACGGGGAGGGCCCCCCGACGCCGAAGACGCCCGAAAACCTCCCGCTGTGAGTTCCTTACGACGCGAGCATGTCTGAGACAGGGTCCCGGGCCAGAGTCCCCCATGACCCTTCTCACTCATGGCGGGCACCATCTGCGCTAGCGCCACGGACAGGGCGATTCCCAGCACGATCCTCGGGGCGGACTTTGAGTGGGGAGGGACAGCAGGGACAGAACAGCTCGGACATCCTTCTTCTCGATTTTTCCGAGACACGGGCCCCCAGCCTCTAGACCACTTCCCCGGTACAGGTCTTCCATCCCAAAAAATTGTTTGACGATCCCGACGCCCGGAAAGGGCCCTCAGGGGCCAAAAACTTTGAAAAATCGTCCGTCTCGATCTTTTCGAGGCGCAAGCATGTCTGGAACCTGGGAAAGGAGAGGTCCGCGAAATAAGCTGCACGCAAAGCTGGCGCTCCCGGCGCAGGAGGCGCTCGCACATGGACCCAGGATTACGGGCGCCCCGAGGGGCCGACACCGCCTGACCGCAGCAGCTCTCGCGACCCTCCCATCCCGGGGGCGTCCATGAGAGGAGCGTCCAAGAGGGGGGGGGGCAAGTCATGGCCCGAGGCACGTGCGCGGCCAGGGGGGAGCCAGGAGACGCAAAGAGCGAAGAAGAGAGGGCCACGACGGGCCGTGAGATCTGGGAGGCACCGTGGCCCCCACCGCGACATCGCCCCCCCCCCCCCCTCCAGGCCATATACAATCGGACTTCATTGGGCGGGACACGCGAGAGGACACAAGACCCTTCCGAGGGTCACATTGCCAGAGGAATGCAGGAGGCACGGGTCGCGAGACGTACCCTTGACTTGGCAGGGTCGACCTACTAATCCGGGCCGACTGTACTTCTGTCCATGTCCTCTGCGCAGCGTGGATCTGAGGGCTCCCTTTTCCCCGGAAGCCCGAGGCGCGCTGGAGATTGACAAAAAATCTGCTCCCCTGGAGGCTCGATCTCTGTCCATGTCCAGTGCGCCTCGGCCGTGTGGTGCCCCTTCCAAGATAGCCCAAGACGCACTGGATATGGACATAAAGATTGCACCCCTGCGCACCCGCCCCCTCCTCTTACTCCTGCTCAACCTCCTCCTCCTCCTTCTCCTTCTCCTTCTCCTCCTCCTTCTCATCTCCGTCTTCTTGTCATTATTCATACTGTTAGTATTAGAAATACCCGAATTATTGATAGTATGATGACTACTTTTCTTATTCCAACTTTTCTTACGAGTAGTAGTATCACTCGTAGTTTTGGTATTATTCGTGTTCTTCTATGAAAATATGACAGTTGGCTTCTTCATGGCATTCTTACCATTCAAATTATCATCCGTCCCCCTCCTCCTCCTCCTCCTCCTCCTCCTCCCCCTCCTCCTCCTCCTCCTCCTCCTCCTCCTCCTCCTCTTCCTCCTCCTCCCCACTCACGGAAAGCGACCGCCATTACCTCCACCCACTTCCGCGCAAGTTCCGCCAGCGCCCCTGGGGGGGGGGCATGCTGTTAACCACACCCTGGCTCGGCGCTGAGATGCACCATCTATCCCATTAGGCGGTATAGCGCTGTCTGGTTGTTATGTCGGGACATGTGTTGCGCGCCGATGCTCTTGCTATACCTATACGACCACCCTTCGGGTGATAAGGAGGTTCGGGGGGGAGGGGACAAAGTCGCACTCGATCGATCTCACTATCGATCTCACTATCGATCTCACTCGATCGATCTCACTCGATCAATCTCACTATCGATCTCACAATCGATCTCATCATCGATCTCACTCGCCTGGTCTCACTCTCGATATCACCATCGATCTCACAACCGATCTCACTATCGATCCCACTGTCGGTCTCACTATCGATCTCACTTTCGATCTCACTCGATGGATCGCACTGATCTCACACTCGATCTCACTATCCCTCCAACTATCGATCTCAGTCGATTTGCATGTAGATTCGCATGTAGATTTGCATGTAGATTTGCATGTAGATTTGCATGTTCGATTTGCATTGTCGATTTGCATTTCGATTGGCATGTCGAATTGCATTTCGATTTGCACTTTCCAATTGCATGTTCGATTTGCATGTTGATTTGCATGTCGATCTGCATTAGATTTGCATGTCGGTTTGAATGTTCGATTTGCACTGTCGACTTGGATTGTCGATTTGCATGTCGAGTTCCATGTCGGTCTGCATGCATTTCGATATGCATGTCGATTTTCATTTTCAATTTGCATGTCGATTTGCATTTCGATTTGCATGTCGATTTGCATTTCGATTGCAGTTCGATTGTCATTTCGATTTTCATTTTCGATTTGCATTTTCGATTTGCATTTCTATTTGCATTTCGATTTGCATTGTCGATTTACATTTCGATTTGCATGTCGATTTGGAATTCGATTTGCATTTAGATTTGCATGCCGATTTGCATTTTCGATTCGCATTGTCGATTTGCATGTCGATTTGCATGTCGATTTGCATGTCGAGTTGCATTTCGATTTGCATGCCGATTTGCATGCCGATTTGCATTTCGGGACACCAGCGGGACACCGGCGGGACACCGCGGGGCCCCGGCCGCCCGGAAGGGAATCATTTGATCCGGCCGCGCCTCAGCCACACGGGACACCAGCGGGACACCGGCGGGACACCGCGGGCCCCCGGCCGCCCGGAAGGGAGACATTTGGTCCGGCCGCGCCTCAGCGACAGAGGGACGCTTTTCTCGCCCGCCCACGCAGCTTCGCCTTGCCCGCACGCACGGCACGCACGAACACGAAACCGAAATCGATTTCCCGGTAGGGGGCTCTCCGTTCCACTTCGATCTCGCCCCCTCACCTCCGATAACGAGCTTAAGGGGACAAACTTGTGGCAATCAGGTCGGTCCTGATGCACTTGAAACAACTATCACCGTTTGTTGTATCACCGTAGCTGCTGGTTCAGCGCAGCTTGTAATGTAGAGTAGGCAACCAATTGAATTGGTTTGTAGCCTGCCGCCTGAGGCTCCCTCGCACGCTAAGGGCAACAACAGAGGGGGGGAACATGTTGTTAACCACACCCTGGCTCGGCGCTGAGGTGCACCATCTGTCCCATTAAGTGGGATGGCGCTGTCTTGCTATTATGTCGGGGCACGCTTTGCGCGCCGATGCTCTTGTATATAACGAGCCTGTGGGGACAGACTTGTGGCAATGAGGTCGGTCCTGGCGCACTTGATACAGATATCACTTTTTTTCGTACGGCGGGGGCGTTGGTTAAGGAATGTGCCCAGGAGGCTCCAAGCCCTGGAGGATTCCTCACCTGGCAAGAGCGGCGGCGATTTCCATGGTCAAGCCCCAATTGGTGTTCCACCAGCTTCCAGGCCCTGGATTCCTTATCTAAGGGCTCCTTATTCAATGCCCTCACCGTATCACTGTAGCTGATGGTTCAGCGCAACTTGTAGTGTAGAGTGCGCAACCAATTGAATTGATGTGTAGCCTGCCGCCTGATAGCCCCAGCCTTGCACTGCATGGAATGCTTCGTGGTTGTCCTCTGTGGGTTGGGCCTTCTGGCATGTTGGTTAGAGTGCCGCCATGTGCCGCTTAGCGGTGCAGGGCCTGCCCTCCAACCTTCGTTGCTGGATGGCCCAGCCTTGCTCTCGACATGTCCAATCCAATCCTCCTCCTCCTCCTCCCCCCCCCCCCGCATCGTCGCCCCCGCCCCTCTGGGCCGCTCCCGACCCTTCCACCGAAACCGCCCCTCTTTCGCCAGAGCCGGGGGTCCCCGCGGCACCCGAGCCTCGGCGGCGCGCGCGAGGGCGTGGGGCGGTGGGGGGTGGCGGGGTGCGGGCGGAGGAGGAGGAGGAGGAGGGAGAGGACGAGGAGGAGGAGGAGGAGGAGGAGGAGGAGGAGGAGGAGGAGGAGGAGGAGGAGGAGGAGGAGGAGGAGGGGGGAGGAGGGGGAGGAGGAGGAGGAGGGAGGAGGAGGAGGGAGGAGGAGGAGGAGAGGAGGAGGAGGAGGAGGAGGAGGAGGAGGAGGAGGAGGAGGAGGAGGAGGAGGAGGAGGAGGAGAGGAGGGGGAGGAGGAGGAGGAGGAGGAGGAGGAGGAGGAGGGAGGAGGAGGAGGAGGAGGAGGAGGAGGAGGAGGAGGAGGAGGAGGAGGGGGAGGAGGAGGGGGAGGAGGAGGAGGAGGGGCGGGCGGCCTTACCGCGAGGGCCCAGGGGACAGGCGACTACATGGCGGAGTCCAAAAACCCTGGACAACAAAATAAAACAAACGTCGCTATCTATTGGGAGGCCGATGTTTACTTCCGCCAGCTTCCGCTGGCCCTCCGCTGGAGTCCGCTGCGGGAGGCGGCCTTGCTTTACTTTCCCGGGCTTCCGTCGCCCTTCCGCCGCCATCCGCCGAGGAAGAGATACAAACTCCTTCGATGCTCGAAGGAGAGGCCCTGTTTGGAACGCCTCACATGTGAACCCTAACCCTACAGGTCAGACTCTGAATGACCGGCTGGGGCATAGATGCAAGGACTGTCTGCAGCCACATGGACCCCAGCGGAGGTGTTCGATACCCCCACGTCGATTGGGCCCGCTGGGGTAGAGTCCGCAAGCCGTCGCTGAAGGGGGGGGGGGGACGCAGAAAGACCTGGAGGCCTCTGGGAAGGCCTCCCTGCGAGGCAAGAGTGCTGCGTACGATGCCCCCCCCCCGCCTTCTTGGCATCCCCCCAGCACAAACGGCAGGAGCGCATGCCTTTGGAGCTCCGCGCGGGTCTCTTGGGCCGCAGGCGCCCCGGGGCGGCGCCGCAGACGCCCGCAGACGCCGCCACACCAAGGGGAGGGGGAGCGACAGCCCGAGAGACTCGCGCTCCGGCACCGGAGCGCGCCTCGGCACCCAGACCGCGAATAGGGTTACGTCGGGCCTGTCCTCCTACAGGGGGATTTGGGACGAAAAATACCCCCCCCCCCCAAACAAAAACTTGAACATATTCAAAAAATGCCCCAAAAATGGTCAAAAAACAGTTCCCAGACTATGTCTTAACCATTTTTGAACACTCTCTCTGTAGAGGGACAGGCCCGACTTAAGGATAGGGCTTGGACACGTCAGTTGGTGGGGGCGCACCTTTCTCTTCCGCCGGCGTCCGCTGGCCTGCACCCGCCGGGGACACACGTAGCAACCCCTCGGCCCCTCGAAGGCGAGGCTCTCCCTGGACCGCCCCGAGTGCCCGCCGCTGAGGATGGTGAAAGGCCTACCCCCCCTCTCCCCAGGCATCCGACGGTACGTTTTTCCCAACCCTCCTAAAAGCGTGTCGACTCTTGAAGTAGGAAGGCGCTTGAAGTAGATTGGGATCTGGGAATCCAAGAATACCTACTTCAACGACCGGCGTGTATTGTGTCAACGCTGGAGGGGCGAACGCGCTCCAGAAACTGAGCCAGCTTGCCGGCAAGTTGGCCAAGAGACGCTGGCCCAGGTGTTCGAGAGAAGGCCTCAGAATCAAATGCTCGCCTGTATTTGATGACCACGGGGCCCGCTCACGGACCCGGGAGGCCCAAGAATCGAGGAGAACCGCAGGTCGAGCAGATCATGCCGTCGGAGATCCTGGCTCCCCACCAGCTTGTCCGCGCCGCCAGGGTCACGAGCGGCCAACGCACACGTCGTTCAGTTCTAATCGTACTCACTTCTAATTGTGCTCGTCTCTCATCGTTCCTGGCCCCCTAATGGCCAGGAAGGGGCCCAGGATAGAACAAGTAGAAATGAAAAGATCTTGGCCCCAAAAAAATTAAAGAACTTTCGAGGAATTGGCCATGAACAATGTGTATCCGCATCCGAGCCCTCGCGGTCTGGGCTCCGGGCGCGATCCCGGGGATACGCGGTCGCACGGATACGTTCCGCGCGGGGCATCTGCGAAACAGCGCACCGTACCCGCGGGGTCGCGGCCCAGGAGCCCAGCCCAAAAGGCCACGGCTACGGTTAAGTCGGGCCTGTCCCCCTACAGGGGGACTTTCGAGGAGAAATTGAAAGTAGTCAAAAAATACTCAACAATGGTCAAAAAATTATTCAGAAAGTCGTCCCCCGACTATTTTTTTACTATGTTTGAATATTCCTTTTGTGGAGGGACGAGCCCGACTGAAGGCTACGGCCATGTGCTGCGCCCACGACCGGGAGCCCGCCAGCACCAGCGACGCAAAAATGGCCAAGAAATATACAAAATTTGCCCCAAAATGCCCCCGAAAATCGTCCCCATAACATTTTTAAACTACTTTTGGATACTCCTCCTCTAGAGGGACCAGGCCCGACTCCCGGCTGCGGCCGTGTGCTTCGCCCACGACCGGGAGCCCGCCAGCACCAGCGACGCCCCGAGCAGCTGCGCGCCGGCGAGCCCGGCCTCGCCCGGGCCGCCCGCCGGGCCGAGGCCGCCGAGGGCGCCGAGCGCCTGCGCCGCGGCCGCGTCCAGGCGGCGGCGCCTGCCGGGGTGCTGCCAGGAGGGGTCTTTTAAGTCGGGCCTGTCCCTCGACGGGAGGAAGATTCCAAAAACAGGCAGAAGAAAAGGATCCCAGTGCGACCCTACCTAGGAGTTGGAGGATCTAGGAGAGCAACATCTGTATGAAGCTAAGTTAAGCTAAGATGAAGCTAAGCTAAGGTGAAATAAGCTAAGCTAAGATGAGATAAGCAACGCTAAGCTAAGGGAACGTCACTGGGGGAACCGCGGGGCGGATACTGGGGGAACCGCCCAGGGCGAGTTGCACTGCCCGGCCCTTTAAGCATACCGAGTAAGAACCCTTCTAGGCAGAGCCTAGGTAGGGAAAAATAGTCTGGGGACGATCTTTTGGGGGGGCATTGTTGGACCATGTTTGCATATGTATGGACGGTCTTCCATTTTTCCTCGAAGATCCCCCTGTAGGGGGACAGGCCCGACTTAAAAGTGGGCCTGGCCCGAGGCTCGATGATCCTCAGATCGTGTGTTGGCGCCAAGGTGTGCTTCTCCACCGAAGCACTCCACGATTCGGCTGCACGCGAGAGTGAGACCCTGGGTAAGAGGTAACCTTTGGTGCGCGGCTTCTGGGGGGGGTGGGACCAGACACGAGCGCACCAAACGCTTCTGTCGCACCGCGTTCGGCGCTCGGGGGACCCCATATGGGCCCGCACCAGAGGTCACTCCGGCGAGGGGTCACTCTTACGTGTAGTCGGACTGTGGCGCAGGAGCCCGCTTTTGCTCCTTCGCGATGGAGCTGGTGACCGGCCCCGCCCTTCCCCCCTCCCCCTGCCTGGTCACGTCACGATTCGCGCTGGCGCCGCCTGGGAATTTGTCATGTTTGAGCATTCCCAGACGGCGCTGGCGCGAATCGTGACGTGACTGGTCCCCTCCCCCCCTCCACCCCCCGGTCACGCCCGCTACTGCCAAAGGGGAACAAACTGTCTCCAAACCGTGTGTCAGCGCCAACGTAGGCTTGTCCACCGAAGCCCTTTGATCTGGCGCAGGTGGTGCAATGAACAGGCCGACATGGCTGCGCACTATGGGCGGAGCTGAACAGGGAAAATACACAGTGGGATACAACACGCGTCATGAGGATCACCGAAAGGGCCCCCAACCTTTTCGCACAGTTTTGGAGCCCTGGGCCCCCATGGGCATCGTTATGGGTGCTCCGGCGGCGCCATCTGGGCCTCCTCGGGAATCCTGGGGACGGGACACCGTGGGCCAGGACCACATCAAGAGGCTGGCCCTCGGATCCCCAGGAGATCCCAGGGGGATCCCCAGGCAGGCTTCCGGAGGAGGTCCCTCGCATAGGGCACATTCAGGGCACCCCACCGCGAGGCCCAGAGCGCCCCCAAGGAGCTCCAGGACTGCGCGAGAGGCGGGGGGCGCCCTGCGCCTGGGGCGAGGGCTGCTTCTGGCAGCGCCTGGCCTGCGCCGCGGCGGAGGCTCCTCGGAGGCTGCAGCGAGGCCGCCCCAGCCCTGGGGCGGGGCGCGGGGGGGGCGACAGGTGTGCACCGCGCCGCGTGGTCGGCCAGGGAGCTCGTTGTGCAGACGCCCCAGCTGGGACGCTGTGGGGCGTCTGCCTACCGGCTTCCCCCGCCGAGCCCCCGGGACCTCTTGACGCGTGTGGCTCTTCCGGCGCGCGGCCCCCCGGGAAGGCCCCTACCCCTTCCCCGGGGCCAGCATGTTTTGTTTCGGCTTGCGGTTGGCTTCGCCTCCATCATTGCAATAACATAAAAACGATACGATACGATACGATACGATACGACACGACACGATACGATACGATACGATACGATACGGCTCGCTCGCGTCCGGGCCCGCTTTGGGGCCGTCCTCTGGGAGAGGGCGAGCGCATGGGAGCGCGCTCCCGCATGAAAGAAAACGGATTATTTAGAATGTGTCTCGGGTGAGACAGGATCCATGCTTCATGGTCCTCGGGCCCGCTGGCGGACCCATGGGGGGCCGAGATCGAAGAGCAGCGCCAGGGTCGAAAAGAGATCGCACCGTCGGAGCTCACGGGGCGCGGTGTGCGCACCGAGCCTCTCCGAAGCCATCGGCGCGCTTGCGCTTGCCGCCGCCCCCGCAGGGCCCGGCGAGCGCGGCAGCGTCGACACCTCGGGCACGCAGTTTTGCCCGGGCCAGCACAAAGCCGGGTCGGCCCAGGCCCTGTCGCAAAGCCCGGCCGGCCGCCTGGCAATTACCTTCCAAACTGAAGGGGCCCTGGGACACACAAATAGATAGACAAAAATAGCAGGATTCCCCATATCTTCTTACTGGGTTTTGTCTTCCCCCCAATTCCCATATTTTCCTATACGTTCTTGGGAATCGACGATTAATTGTGTCCGTGTGCTTTTTTCCCTCCTGACAAGCGTGGGCCAGTGGAGGGCGGAAAATGGAAGAAGGGGCAACGGCATCCGCGCGGACTTCTCGGATCCGCGCTGGACCCCCCTCCCTGGCGCGCGGCGCCGCCGGGGGGGTGGGACCAGCGCGGCTCCAAGAAATCCGCGCGGAGCGCCAAAAGCGTACAGGCGGACTTGACTGGACAGGACACGCGGCAGGACATGAGACCTTCTGAGGGCCACACTGCCATAGGAATGTAAGAGGCATGGGCCGCGAGACACAGGACACAAGGGCACCCCTGATTTGGCAGGGCCGACCTCCTCATCCGGGCCGACTGTCTGTGTATGCAGCTGCTTGTCTTCTTCGAGCCGAGGGAGATCGGCCCCACTAATCGGCCTCACATGGCTCCTGAAACTTGCGACGGGAATCGGCTCCTTCTCTCATCAGCTGTTTCCTTCCTAATCTTTAGGAATAAAAAAACGCCCCTACCCTGGGTTACGAGTCCGTGGTCAGTAAACCTCCTGGGAACTCCCACGGGCCAGAGAGCCGCCAGGACGCCGCGCGGCACGCGCTATACGCAGGGTTGACCCTGTCAGCCCTCAGGAGGTTCAGCGCACAGCGCCTCATAAACCAGGGTAGGAGCGTTTTTTACGCCCTTGATAATCGGCCCCACGTGGCTCCCAAGCCCAGGTCGGCCCCAGGGCCCCAGGGGACCGACCGACCCCCACTGGCGGCGCCCCCCGCTGCGCGCGCCCCGGAGGCACCGAGGAGCAGCGGGGCGCCCGGCGGCGGCCAGGGCGCCCGCCGGCGCCGCTTCGGGGCGGTGGGGGACTCGCTGCGCCAGTGGGGCATGGCGAGCAGCTTGATCCAGGGCTCGAGCTGAGCAGTGTTCCCGGATCCCCTCGCGCGGTGGAAAAACAAAAAAAATCGCGGCGGGAGATTCTTCGCTATAGGTTCGGCCTCCGCGGGCCCTTCCCGGGCCCTGGGACTCTCAGAAAACGACCCGGGATGAGAAACCGGTCCCGGGGAAGGGGTCCAGACCTCTGGGGGTCGACGTTGTGAAAAGATCACGGCGTCGGGGGTCTGGAAGCGGTGTTTTCTGTTTTCGTACTGCTGCCGCTTTCCCTCGTTCCGTCTTCCTCCCGCAGGCTTGCTGCAGTGCGAAGCCAAAACACCAACGGCCTACGAAGCCAACAGAACACCGCTGGTAGAGGAAGAGGAAACGCCACAAACATATAAGCTGTCGGCGCTCCGTGCGGACTCCTTGGCTCCGCGCCGAACCTCCCCCCCTGGCGCGCACAGCTTATGTCTGTGCCGTCTTCCTCCTTCGATCGGCTACACGCAAGAGTGACCCTGGGTAAGAGTGACCTTTGGTGCGCGGCCGTTTGGGGGGCCGCGGGGGGACCAGACCTGGGCGCGCCAGCCGCTGCTCCTGCTTCGTCTACAGCCACCTGGGGACCGACCTGTGCCCGCACCAGAAGCCCCTCCGGCGAAAGGCTACTCTTGCGTTGGTCCTCTTCGAGCTCAGCTCGCGCCCTGGCCCCTACTATGATACAGGGGCCGGGCACAGGCCTCGGAAGGCCCTCCAGGCGGCCACGGCGAGTCCGAGCCTCCCCCCCCGCCAGAAGGGGCTCGGGCTCCACATCGTGCTCGGGCCTGCGTCCAGCCTCTGGCACGGGCTCGGGCTCGGGCTCGGGGCCCGGAGCTCGGGGCTCGGGGCTCGCCGGAGCCAGAAACGGAACCGTGCCCCCCCCGCCCCAACCCCATCCCCACCTCTTCCAGTGGTGAAAAAATCGCGACGGATGGTTTGGTGCAGTCTTCGGCCTCCTGCTGGGGCCCCTCACCGGGCCCCGTGACCAACAGAAAGATGAAAAACTTCCCCTGGGAAGGGGTCCAGACCTCTGAGGGTTGGCGTTGTGGGAAAATGACAACGTCGGAGGCTTTCCAGGCTTTAGGAAGCAGCTTCTTGAAGGTCTTCGCAAGAGCGGATGAAGGCTAATGCGCCCGATCAGGGGGTCACTCAGCTGGATTAGGCTGGCAGGATTAAGCCCGATTGAGACGGGCTAGGCGGACTTAAAGCGGGATGATGCCGGCTTAGGCCTGTTGACCACGGATTTACCAGCGCCGATGCTGAATCCAACCGCCCAGGAGTTGCATCCTAACAGGCGGCCACGACGAGTTCAAGCCTTCACCCCTCCACCCCTCCCCCTGGTAAGAAAGTTCTGCTGCCACTGCAAGCCAAAAGCGCAGGCAAAGCAAAGGCGAGTACGAGTAAGAGCCCAGCGTGCCTGCCTCTGCCTGAAAAGGGGCCCAGACCATGGAGGGAGCCACGCGCATGCAGCAGCCTGGACTCGGTCTTGCCAGTGCAAGCATCGAATGGCGCGCTCCACAAAGGGCTTCACCTTAGGCGAATACTTGGCAGTTGGCGAAACCTGGCGAAGGCCAGCGGAAGAAAGACGGCAGCGGGTCCGCTGGTGGAAGAGTGGCCGAAGGCGAAAAGTTTCAATTTCCCCCTGCACTACGACCACACTGGCGATGACTTGACGAATCATGCCCAAGGAATCGGGCAGCAGTCCGACCGCTGGACCATTCTCGCCCGTTCCTCCCGAGCGGAACGAGAACGTACAGTAGACGAGGAGGGCGAAGAGAGACGTGGAGATTCTGGATCCAAGGAGCCTGTCTGGAGTCGACCCCGTGGAGAGCGGAGCCCCTTTCTGGCCCCAGCTGCGCCTCGCTGTGCCCTGCGCACGGCGAGTGCACCGAAACGGGAGGGGCCCTGCGCGAGGGGACCCCGAGCCACTGGCAGGGCCAGGGCGGTCCCTACCCCTCAAGGTGGTTCCAGCAGCAGCAAAGCAAGGCAGGAGGGAGAATCCGCTGTCCCTCAAGGGGGCTATCCCGCAACACGGACAAGGAAGACGACGAACTAGGCCAATGCAGTAAATGTCGCCGAGACCCCTCAAGGTGGTGACTGGCTCGGAAGGCCCTGTAGGGAGCTCCACCTACGGCAAGGGTGGCACAGCTCGCATGGCGTACGCGATCTCACTCGGCTGCACGCAAGAGTGACCCTGGGTAAGAGTGACCGTTGGTGCGCGGCCTTTTGGGGGGCCGCGGGGAGACCAAACCTGGGCGCGCAAGCCGCTGCTACCGCTTCGTCTTCAGCCATCTGAGGGCCCATCCGTGCCCACACCGAAGGTCACTCCAGCGAAAGGTCACTCCTACGTCTATGGTCGACTCACTCGTGGCTGGCCACAGTTGCCGAGCAGGCGAAGGCCACGGGCTCCCGAGCGCCGCCGGCTGCTCGGAGAATGAGCCAGTCGTCGGCTCAAGAAAACCCCCGCCATCCGCCACCTGCCCTCCTGGGAAGGGAGGGGCGGACCCCGTGGACGGATCGAGGCGGGAGATGTTCGGCTCTCGTCGGCCTCTGTGGCAGCTCCCCAGCCCAAGGACCGTCAGAAACAGCTCGGGGCGGAAGACGGCCTTGGGGAAGGGTTCCAGACCTCTTGGGAGCCACGCTGCGAAAAAAACACGACGCTGGGCGTCTGGGGACGCCGTCGAAGACCTCGCCTCCTGCCGGACCTTCTCGGCGAAGCCAGCTGGGGAACGAGGGAGGACGGGGTCCGGCCGTAGGGACAGAGGGCCCACAAGGAGGCACATGGGAGGGGCGAGAAGGGTCAAAATCCCTGGTCTAGAAATTCAACAAAACACCATAAACATCAACTGCCAGAGGTCCACGCAGATCTCTTGGATCGGAGCGGGGCCCCACTGGAGGAGCCTCTACCGCCGCCCTCCCTCCCCCCCTCCTCTCTCTTCCCTCCTCCCTCCTCCCTCCTCCCTCCTCCTCCTCCTCCT